TAAAGCAGAATAAAATAATAACATGCAATGTAGGGGCAGAATCTGACATCTCCTGTTATTAGTTGATATCATGGACTGTGATGACTAGCAGCTTATCACTGACAGCATGTCAGACTATTTCTTTGTGTTTGCTACACTCTGTGTTTGTCATTTATAAAAAGATAAATCACTTCTCTATAATACATCAATGATATTTCAATGGAATAAATTACTTATTGACTTATTCATACTTCAAAAACAGCATCAATAAGTGATTTACATAGGGGGGATCAAAATAAAATAAATAAATAAAATAAAAATCAACCAGCCACCCTTTTCCCCTGACAAGTAAAGAACAGTCCCTAAAGTGTGGTGAGGTTTGTGGAAATGTGAACGGCTCGTTTCTCCTCTGACACGTCACATACCTGTGTGCTGCCACGGCTCGGTTGTTCAGGTATTTTTGGGCAGTCATTAAGGGTGTAACGGTACACAAAAATCATGGTTCGGTACAGTAATGAAAAAAATAGACAACTATTAAATATCTTTTACTTATTGGTAACCTTATTAAAACATACCACGACAGCAGTTAACTCTTTTTACACAATTTTTGAATGAAACAAATATATATATAAAATCCTGCTTTTTCACATTGTTTGAATGAAAATAGAAATATAAAAGTGAAAAATAAAATGCTTGAACAGTTTTACTCAATTAAAATAAAAAGTATAGTGCAGCTGGTCAGCTTTAAAGCCTGCTCAGATTCAGTTTTACTAGGAACTTCCTTAGCTTTCCCACTTTGTTAAAGTGCAGTAAACAAAACATGCTTATATCTAAAGTGCAGCTTAAACAATTTTACTCAACTCCAATGGCGTTGGTTATTTATTTAGCGCGATGGTCAGGGAAATGCTCTTTCTTTTTAAATGACGACCATATCATAGTTCACACCAAATTGCTTTTTCTAGTCGTGTCGGTTAACGTTCAAACTCGGGTGGTGTCGCTTTAGATGCATTAGTATGTTAGACGTGTTTCCAAGTACATACCCGACCACTGTTCTGCAGTGCCGGCACACTGCTTTTGTCTTGTCAACTTGTTTATTTCCATCTTCGTATTTTACTCTGAAACCAAAGTGTTCCCAAACGGAGGACTTAAGGTTTGCGGGTGGGTCTTCAGGTTCGTCAGGCTCACTTGCCATGTTGTCAAAATGCGAGAATGCGCTGCACAAAATGAAAGCAGAGATTTATGGTAGGACTCGGTCCGTCACTCAATTATGTCCGTCGGGGAACTAGATATTTTAAATGGTTCGGCTCACAAAAACGGAATTAAAATAAAACAAAATAAAATAAAATAATATCCTGCGCCCAATAATTCGGTACAGGGTCGTGCCGAACCCCAAGTCACGTACCGAACGGTATGACACAAATACATATACCGTTACGGCCCTAGCAGTCATGACACCGACAAAGACTTCTTGAACCTGGAGCCGGGCTTCTCGGTCGCCGGTAAGCTGTTATCTTGCGCAGCAGAGCACTATGGCCGCCGTATTTGACAGGAATACGTATTTCTGTCTGTGACCCCCCGTTCAACCCACAACCGGCAGGATTCGCCTTTAGTTTCTGCTGCAGCTTGGCAGCTCCCTGGTTAATCCAACCAGCATTAGCTTCTGTTCCTCAACTCCAACGGTCAAGCTGGAGCTGATGTTTACATCCATTATCGTTGTCAGTAATGCCTGCTACAGAGCATGCAGCCAGCTCTAGCGTTGTTTTAGAGATGCAAACTGTTAAAGACAGTCAACCGATTGCTAGTCTCGCGATACCCGATCCATGACTCTACAATCGATTCATCTAAGGATTCATGGCTGATTCGTATCGATTCAGGAGGCTGCTACCGATGTAGCCGTATCTCTCACTTGTCAAACCGGATATCCGGTCGTATCAGTTAATCGTTCCCAACCCTACTTATAACAACTTTTGTGGTAAATATGACTTTGATTGTAATCTCAAAGTTTTTAAATCTCTTACAAAAGCCATACCCAAAGCATTACTTATCCTAGTCATAAAGAAATACATCACAAAGTAATTAATGATTTTTACCCATCTAGTGAATTTTTAAGACTAAGATTTGGATTTGAAAGCAATGAATGTGTTTTCTGTAAAGGTGATATTGAAACAACAGAGCGCCTCTTTGTTACATGCTCTCGCACCCAGTTGTTCTGGAAATTATTTACAGAATGGTTAAAAAGAAAAACCTCAGCAATGCCTGCTTTAGACTACAATAGTATAACTTTTGGCGTCATATTAAAAAACAAACAATTGGACTTAATGATAAATGTTTTACTAATCTTAGCCAAATTCTTTATTCATAAAGCCAAATTTCTAAAGACCCCACCCATCTTCACATGCTTCTTAAATGAATTTCAACTTTATATTAAGTCCCTAAAATGTATGGAGCCCAAACTTGCCAAAGACCTCTATTTAATGTTCAAAAATGATCTAACTAATGAAGCATAACAGTTATTAAGTCAACCTTTTAAATTCTAATTTATTTAATTTACTTTCGGTCTATGTACTTTCTATTATTTTTTTTTTTTTGTCTGTTTATTTGCTGTTTGTTTATTTTTTCATGCCCTTTTATCTTCTGTGTTGTATTATTTATTTTTGAACATGGTTTCATCTCTTCAATATGGTGTCTGTTCTTGTTGAATTTTCTTCTTCTTTTTGAATTAAGTGTACTATTTGCCTTACTGGTTTGTACATTCATTTGATTGCAATAGAGTTTAAAAAATAATAATAATAAATTAGCCCCTGTTCTTGTTTTGCGGCAGCCTCCGGAGGTGAAGTCAGATAAGGCTGCACCAATCACAACAGACTGAGCGAGCTGACCAATCAGAGCAGACTGGGCTGCTGGGGAGGCGGGACATGAGCCCAAAAACAACGTTGGCGTTTCAGACAGGGGTGCTGTAGCAGTGTGCTTTTAACACTGAAGCACATAAATCTATTCCATTAGACCCCAATAGCACAGATTTATATCAATACGATCCTGAGCATAATAGGTCCACTTTAAAAGGTCCTGTGTCCATATATATGTATATACATTTTAGAACACTACATACATTTTGCTACTGCAAAACTGGCTGAATTGAGATGAACAGACTGAAAACACAATCTTATTAGATAAAAACAGATTAATTGCAACACATCGCAGTGTATCACAACATATGCATCAGATCACAAAAGAATATCACAACTTAAGTAAGGTTTTGAATACAGGACTGAGTATTTTCACAGTGTGGCATTAGTACTTTGACGTAAGTAAAGGATGTGAGTACTTCTCCCACCACTGGTAATGAGTAGTGTTCAGTGAGAGGCCAACATTTGTCAGTGTTACCTGTTTAGTGATGGATCTGAACGGCAGCGCTCCGAGGATCACCGTGTCGTCCACTCGATCAAACCAACGTCTCGACGTCACCTTCTCCATGAAAACATTGTAGGCTAACGTTGGGTAGAAAAGGAGCCTCGCTAATGCTCCAGACATGGCCTTAAAATACTGCGGAATAAATTATATCAAAACTGTATTTCTTTACTGTTAACGTACGTGTTCTATACCGGCCTGTCAGCCGGATAACGTGTTCTCTTCTTCTTTGGGTGATTTTAAAGTTCCGCCCCTGGCGGTTACAACTGGACTTCCGGTGCGAATCCTTCATAATAAGATCCGTGACCTCCACGGTCGCGTATTTTTATGACACGCTATACACAATCGTTCATGCACTCACACTCATCTTTTTTTTTTTTTAATAAAAGCTATATATACATACATTCATACACACACACACACGCAGTTATATGTGTGTGTATATATATATCTATATATCTATATGTGTGTGTATATATATACACATATACATATATATATATACACACATATACACATTATATATATATATATATATATATATAAAGTTAACCATTTCACTGAATGCTATTAGTACTGTGAGCTAACCTCAAATCAACCCTCCAGCTCCCAGGTAGTGACAAGCCTTACTTTGCTGTCACGTTAACCCAGCAGAGTTTTAAGTCAGTTGTTTAAGTGTTAAATTGTCGATTCTCATAATTTAAAATATTGCAATTAACCCTTATTGATTAGTAAGCTTGCATACAAGGGTTATCACAGTCCAGTTGGTAAATCTTAAGGACCTTCGATCAGAGGAATATGCTGACACAGACATTGATCCACTGACAATTTGGAATCCTAACTCTAACATTTTATTGAGTATATTCTCTTGGCTCCAGATGAGCCAAAAATGCTTATGTAAAAGGACATCAACTATCTCTAATAGACAGGACGGATTGTAACCAATTTTTCCAAAAAGTTTTTTCCTTTCAAAAAGTTCATTCTCAGTCACGACAAGATCGCAGCAGCTGATATTATTTTCACCTGGTGAGTCTTTGTGTGTCATCATGGCAAAATGTGGTCCTGGTGCCACCAATTGTAGCAGAAACTACCACAGAAGTGGGTTTGTGAGTACATTTTTCAGGTATTTATGTCTGTCTGTGAATACTGTCAGATATTGTCAACACAATAGCCTCACAATCATGAAAGATGTAGTTCCAGAAATGTATAGGTATATAGATCATAATGAAAGCTGAGTTTGAAGATGGGTGTGGTCTGAGCGATGGTGCCAGGAGCAGGAAGCAGGGAAGAGCCATTTCCCCATCTATATAACACCTTTGTTTTAACTCAAGGATCAATGTGTATGACACAGGCTCTAGTTAGTAGCTACTTTTGACTGTGTCTTTGTGATTAATATAAAGTGATAAATGAAATATCGTATTTGACTAAATTCAAAGTTTTATTGTATTTTGTTCCTAAAATCCCAGGATTCATTGTGAAAGCTATCTACACTGTTGCATCAACAGATGAATCAGATTTATTCACAACCGATAAACTTCAAACAGCTTAAGTTTTGATGAATTGGACTCATATCTTTAGACATATTGTAAGAAGTGCAAATCTTTACATTCCACTGAATTTGCCAATTCTTTGTGGAGACTATCCTTATGTGACAATATTGTGAATTTTGATATTTTGTGTGACAACACTACTATGAGTCTAGAATATAAACTCTTTAAAAAATATCTCAAAAAATCTTATCAGTCGGTGCTTTTAATGAAAATGCATTAATTATATTTTGACAAGCCTTTCCAAATCAGCCATGATAGTTTGTTAAATCCATGTAATTGAATTATATTTAAACTGTTACGTAACACCAATATTTGATGGGCTTTAACAGTCTTAACATCCTGTCTATACAACTAACGTCTTGGTCAAACAGCAGATACAGAAATATATACACAAGTACATACATGTATAAAAACAGATTTGAATGGAACAGTGTGAGTGTGTGTAAAATTATATAATGCATTGCAATATATTAACTAAAAAAAGTGCAAAGTATTCATAATACATTTGGCCTGTAACCCAAATTGCATAACATCAGAAAGCTTAAAATTCTTTCATTCTTTCTTTTCTCTCTCTCTCTCTTTTTTTAAATGTGCTGTATAAAATGCAGACATTTATTACATCTCAAAAATTTAGAGCCCAAGTAGTGTTAGTTTAACTGCTGATACAAACAGATTTTTCCTCTTACAGTGATCGTACTCGTTTATCACTGTTTTAACACTCAATATATTATGACCTTCATTTACATATAAAAGTAGATGGCAGTGAAAGCCAATGATCTATTTTAAAGGAGATCAGAACTTCGTTGAAAGGACTACTGTGATATCTGACGCAGTCCCCCACAGAGTGGAGAGGTCAAAGGTTGGTGGAGGTGGAGTTCAGGATGTTGTGCTGGATCTTGGCGTTAGAGGCCTTGGACAGGTCTCGCTGTGGAGACAGAAAAGCATGAATGATCGTACGTTATGTGACGACATGAGGAAAAGACAACACAGTCAGAAACAAACTTGTTATCAACAAACAGCAACTTGACATTTTCTTACTGTTTGGAAATGACACACTGAAGGCTGTTAGTGTGAGAGAGAAGACAAAGACAGACTAACACGGTTTAAGACTCTGAACCATGAGACAACCTTTTCACAGCAGAAATCCAACCTTTTGTTTAAAAACTATGAAGTTGCAGCAAGTTATTCACTTCAAGCTATTTTGTGAAGTGTAATTCAATTCCCGTGGAACCATTTTGCCTAAACATATACGGTTTACTTTTACTTAGCCATTCCTACATTCACTAGAGTAAGTAATCATAGTACTTCTGTGTTTAATAATAATAATAGTAATAATAATAATAATAATAATAATAATAATAATAAAACAAATAATACGGTGACATTGCCTTCTACTTCATGCCACAAAATAACTTGTCATTGCCATGCTGACTCTAATGTGCCTTTTTTATTCTTTATGTAAAAGCAGAGGGACAGACAGAGGGATGTCGTATGCTGTAAAGCCCTGTGAGGCAAATTGTGATTTGTGATATTGGGCTTTATAAATAAAATTGATTGATTGATCGAGCTCTTGGTGGTGTAGAGAATAGAGCCACATCCTCTAGTCCATTAAGTGATCAGCAGAAAATTAACTACCAACTGTTTTGATAACTGAATAATCGTTTTAGGATTTTTTTAAAGCAAAATCAGTGATTTCTTTCTGAACACATACATGTCAGAAAACATGTGAAAAGACTGGGAACTATGAAGTGCTGAATTGTGGAGTTAGACCGTAACACTGTTCTTCAACATTTCTGATCAGGATTTTTTGGGTGGGCCTAAAAGCCTGCTTGATGACACACTGGAGCCATCCCATACCCATACTATATGTTACTACCAGCGTTAACTTAGAGTGCAACACAGCACAGAGCATAGCATCAGTGTCATTTCATTCAGCCCGTGTGTGAGTGGCAAGTTTGCTATGTTCCGTGAGCTCTCTGAGCTCTTTGAGTCTAATAAATACATATATAAACATCTCCATTTAAAAGCCAACAGTCATTTGAGTACAAGTTAAGTATCCATCACTAACGTGCATTTCAGTCTATCAATCCAAAATCAGCTACCCAACCTGCTGGCAGTTAGGTGTGAGAATACACAATACAATATTACTGCGATTTCAAATGTGTAGCGATATGCTGTGTATTGTGATGAAATATATTGCGATATATTGCAATTAATTAATTACCTTTTTTCAAAAGTAAATTACATCCCCCCCAAAAAAACCCTCTGTCAACATCTGTTTTATCTAATAGGAAAAAGTTTTCAATCTGTTCATCTCACTTTGATCATTTTATTTGCAGTGAAATGTATGTAGTAAACTGATGAAACTACTGATTTTATTATTCAAGTAGGCTACCTAAAGTTTAATTTGTATTTGTCATATCAATAGTTTATATAATTAAAAAATCTATACTTTGCATTGTGTGACGATACAATATTGCCACACAAAAATATCGCAATACTTTGCTGTACTGATTTTTTTCCCCCCACCCCTACTAGCAGTTCATGCACACTGCTGTTGGTGTGTGTGCTTTGTGCTAACGTTTGCGGCTGAGCGAAAGGCTATAGCCGCGCAACAGCTTTTGTACCCTGATTCTGGGTGTGTATGTGTGTTCTGGGTCCATGTCATTGGTTCGACAGCCCACTGGTTCGACATCCCATTAGTCCGACTGTCCACGGTGCTGAATGGCTCGCGACGGGCGTATGGTGCGCCGCAACTGGCTTGAGGCGGAGCAGGCTCACGGTTTATGTGTTTGTCATTTCTTTTTCATTTTAACCCACACCATGATCTTTTCCTAACCCTAACCAAGTGGTTTTTGTGCCTAAACCTAACCAGATCTTAACCACAGGGCATCATGATGATTTCGGAACGGACTTCGTAACAATGAGTTTAATATGGTCGGAGGAACAATGGGATGTCGAACCAATGGGCTGTCGAACCAATGCGCAGTTCCTGTGTGGCTCTTCTACTGGCTTAGCTACGATGCAGCATTAGTTCTTTGGCTCAGTGTGTGAGTGTGTTGTACTGTGCTGTGCTGTGTTACTATAGGCTTTGTGTGCTACTGCGTTAGCTGCTAAGGAGAGGCTGTCGTCACGAGGCAGCTTGTTGTTCAGCTAAGGGATGTTACGCCAGGGCCACACTGCCTGCGAAGCGCAGCACACCGAAATTCTCGCGTGCGCCGGAGAACCTCCGTTCACATCAGACGCGCATTTCTCCACGCCGTCGACAAGCGATTCTGCTCCCAGCTGTTGTTTTTCACTGCCTGGCTTGACACATTTGCTCGTGGCTCGCGCAGAAAATAGACCAGACGCCGAACTGATCGCTGCAAATTGAGAGCCTGCCGCGGAGCTTCCCGGCGCGGCGCCGGCCAGTGTGGATGACACAGTCGGTTAACATGGGCACCGAAAGGAAACTGCCTTCACTTCTCGGCGCTTCAAGGCTATTCGCGGCGCTTCCGCGGGCGGTGTGGCCCTGGCATTAAGTTGCTACAGGCTTAGCTGCTGAATGTCTGTCGCTTCACAGCCGCGCTATCTTGAATGAATGAATGAAATGAAATTTATTTTTGAACATGAGAATCAACAAGGAAGCATTTTTCACATGACATTTCTCACAGAAAATAAATAAATTAAAGGTCTCTACATGTTCAAAAAAGGAGAAGGAAGAAGCTAACTTATGTTTACCTTCCCCTTTTATACATCTTAATTTTCTAACACGGCTACTGTTTATTTTATCAAAGTACCGCCATTTGTCCAAATGAGAAACTCTTGATTCATCTGAGGTAGTTAGTTCTGGAAATAAAAAACAATATATACTGAAAATATAATACAAGAGAATATTTGAAAAAAAGGAAAAAAATGCAGACTTTATGGCTAAACAATTCAGTACAACCTCTTAAAGTGGAAATGAAACATTTGGCCCACCTTCACCTCAATTGTTATAGTTTTCTAATGTGAGAATTTTAAACTGTCTTTTGAATTGAGCAATGTGTTTACTTTCTTTGATCGTTACAGGTAAATTATTCCACAACCTCACCCCATTGACAGATATGCACATGCTTTTGAGTGTGGTACGCACCTTGGATTGTAAGAGATTCCCTCTCCTTCTTAAATTATAACCACTTTCTCTTTCTTTAAACCATTTTTGTATGTTATTAGGGAGTAAGTTGTTTTTGGCTTTGTAAATAATTTGTGTGGTCTTGAAATCCACTATATCCATAAATTTTAATGTTTGTAATTTTAAAAATAAATCATTTGTTTGTGCATTATAGCCAACATTGCTAACTATTCTTATTGCCTTTTTCTGCATGGTGTATATTGTCTTTAGGGTGGATTTGTAGGTATTACCCCACACCTCAGCACAATAGGACAGATAAGGAAGAAAAAGTGAGCAGTATAGAATGTACATTGTTTTCTGATTCAGTTTGTGTTTGACTTTACAAAGTATACCATTAGTCTTTGCCAATTTAGAGCAAATGTGTTTGACTTGCGGTTTCCAGCTGAGATTGTGATCAATTATTACTCCCAGGAAGGAATTTTCATAAACTCTTTCTAATCTGGTGTTATCACACAGTACTTCAATGGTTAAGTCTTCTGGAATTTTGCGTTTCCCAAAAATCATATATTTGGTTTTCTTTGTATTGAGAGATAATTTATTTGTATCAAACCACAGTTTTAGCTTGGCTAGCTCTTCAGAGATGATCTTTAACAGCTGTTGGAGGTTCTCTCCTTTACAAAAGATATTTGTGTCATCTGCAAAAATCACAAATTTCAAAATATTAGAAGTATTAATAATATCATTTATGTATAATATAAATAATTTTGGTCCCATTATTGATCCTTGTGGTACACCGCAAGTTATATTTAGGAGCATTGACTTTTCCTCTCCCATCTGCACAAACTGTTGTCTATGTTCTAAATAACTTTTTATCCAACTGAGCCCTACACCCCTAATCCCATATCTTTCCAGTTTTTGAAGCAAAATATGATGATTAATTGTGTCAAAGGCCTTTTTAAGGTCAATAAATACCCCTATGGCGAACTTCTTGTCATCAATGCTGGTAGTTAGTTCTTCCACAAGGTCAATTAGAGCCAAAGATGTAGATCGATTTGGTCTAAAACCATATTGACTATCAGTTAAGATCTCATGCTTATCAATAAAACTGTCCAATCTGGTGGCAAATATCTTCTCCAAGATTTTAGAAAATTGGGGAAGCAATGAAATTGGCCTGTAGTTAGTATAAAGATTCTGCTCACCAGCTTTAAAGATGGGAATGACTTTAGCTATTTTCATCTTAATGGGAAAGGTGCCCAGTTTCAGTGAGAGATTGCAGATATGTGCAATGGGATCTGCTATAGCTACAATTACTTGTTTAATTAAGAATAGATCAATATCATCACAATCCCTTGATGTCTTGTTCTTAAAATTATTAACAATGTCAATTATTTCGGTTTTATCTATCTCTCAGAAAAATAGTAGCTGAGTTTCTTTCTTCAAAAATTTGTGAGACACCTCGCCCTTGTGGAGGGATTATCTCATCGGCCAGCTTGGGCCCGACATTTACAAAGAATCTGTTGAAGCCTGCCACCACTTCATCACTGTTTTTAATTATCTTACCATTATCAAGAAATTCATTTGGAAATCCAGCACTTGTTTTTTTTCTTCTAATAATTGAATTTAAAATATTCCAGGTGCCCTTTATGTTATTTTTATTGGTTTCCAACAATTTACTATAATAATCTTTCTTACATTTTCTTAGAATATCCATTAGTTTATTTTTATATGTCTTATATTTAATTTATTTTTCCTCAGTTCTGTGCTTGATAAAGTCTTTATATAATTTATTCTTTTTTTGCAGGCATTCAACAGACATATCAGCTCCTGCAGTGGACACGCCCCAGTGTCTCACAGCAGAGAATGCTGCAAATTTTTTTCATGATTTTGAAACCTAATTTTATATACTTTGCAATTTTTTAATCATTCAAATTTGGCTAGGTGATTAATAACACATTTTTCAGTGGTATGACACACTCACACATATTTTATTTTTGCTTTACCTGGACTTTAAGCAAACAAGCCAAATATTTGCTGGTTTTATTTTCCTTAAATTTGACAACTTGATGATTTTATTTGTCATACATGATAATAAACTGGAAAGCTGTAGATTTTTGGACTGTTGGTTGGATGGACCATACCATTTGAAGAGGTCACCACAGACTCAGGGCATGTTTCACTATTTTCTGACATTTTATTGACAAAACCATTCTTCGACAAAAATCATTGTCAGATTAATCAATAATAAATTTTTAAAAATCTTAAGTTGCAGAATTTGGAGAGTTTGGGCTTGTAATGTGAAAAGAGATCTAGAGGTCAAGAGCAGGTGACAGAGGTGAGTAGTACTTTGCAGACCACTTCCGACACATTCCTTGTGCCGTCACTCTCCATTGCCTCTGCTGCATAATGTTACTGTAGCTGCTTGTTTAAACAAGTACTTCTCTGGAACTGGACAGTGAAGGTTGGAGGCTCAGGAGAGTCTCAGTTAAGTCTGGATGGATGCAGCAGTAGAGTCACTGTCTTCCATGTCATGTTAAAAAAAAACAATGCATCAGGTCACAGTAGAGTGTGAGTGAAGCTGTACTCATTAAAACTTAGGAGTCTCTATTCCAACTGACATATATGAAGCTGACAACTAAGAGAGGTCAGGCGTAGAAAGGGGTTTAGGGGTCTAATTCATATATAGAGAGTTGGAGAGTTTGAATGGGGTTCAGGGGGACGTTCAGTGTTGCAGTGACATTCAGGTAATACAATAAACAAGCTAACTGCGCTAACAAGGGATCAGAAATGTACAATAACACTTTTTGCCGACACTAGACATCAAAAGCTAGAGACTGAACTCTCTGAAGCTGCTGTGAGCTGTAAATTCAGCACATCTAAGCAGAAGACAAAAGGTCATCTCAGTGAAGTCGCGCAGACCCGGGAGAGTCCAAAATCCAGTCAGGCAGGACAGTATGGGAGAAAGGTTGATAAACCTCGTTTCACAGCACCCCGTCCTTTTTGATAAAAGACGGGATGATTTTATGAACAACGAATTAAAGGACAACGTCTGGCAGTCCGTTGTCCAGCTTGGTGGCAGCATGAACGTGAAGAGCGCTCACTCCGCAGCAAACCCTGATTTTGCGTCGCAGAGACTATCGTAATCTTTTGAGTGTCCATACCTTGCGATGTGTGTTTTTGTCATCGGGAGTCTCGCCAACTGTGTTACGAAGAAGATTTCTCCACCGAGCCCTCACCGACAGAGCCCCAGATAATGCAGTGACGTCACCAAACTATGTTCTTTAACTTGGAGACTACACATCATAAAGGCATGGATATTCTTCCCAGTGTTGAATCAGATCTGCCTCCAGGGCCTGGGTCCAAACACAATGCGCTCCCCGTGATCCTGTGAACGCCGCCATTGTTGTTGTTGCTTGCCGGCTTGTCCTCCTCACAATAGGCTCGTTCGAGATGAACTGCGCCTCGCCTGAAAAGTAGACGAGAGCAGGCGGACGCAGCGGGGGGCGGTGACAAAAAGCTGCAGTGAAGTCGGACAGTTTCCCGACAGTTTCCAGCAGCCTTCAGTCCGTACAGGAATTCACAGACTCACTAACATCCTGTCTGGAATGATGTCAATTCATTAAAAAAAGTGATCAGACCCATATGTCAGTTTGTTTCAGTCTCCAGTCGTTTTAATTATGATAGATTAATTTATTAAAATGCTTTACAGGTGATCTGTAGTTTATGTTCATGGTTTATCCTCCATTTGATATGAATTCTCCTGTAAATCAGCATCATATCAGTTTCACCTGTCCCCTCAACTACACAGGCTGAATAAACTGTGTTTGACTATAAGGTTAATATTTTCAGAGGAAAAAAAATACAAGACAACAGCTTTCATTAAGGCTCAGTCAGATACAGTCAGGGCTTCACATCTGTACAGATGTTATTTTAAGAATCCTCACATCCCACTGACCACAAGTCTCTGTGTTGCTAAATACTTCAATAATTAAGCCATCCAATATTAATATAGTACAGTAGACTCTGTATAGTTTATGATTAATGTATTCAGTCTCTGACAACTAAACTTCATCATCAGTCACACATGTTTTCTGTTCACAGAATAAACCTCCAGATCAGACAAATACAATCTTAATCTCTAAAATTTAACAATAATGAGTAGTTTATCTAAAACGTCATATTGTTGAGTCGACATCTTAACCAATTAGCTGTTAGATCAGGTGAGAGCCAGGCGGTGCAGTCGGTGGAGAGCAACTGCAGCGCCTGGCTCTAAAAACTGCGGCTGCCTCGCTCTCGCGGTTTTATCGCCGTCCACTTTTGTAATACGTCAGAGCAAGTCGGGATGAAGTCGGACACAAAACTAACCGGCACGCATTGTGCGCCGATCGCCGGTGATCTAATCTGCGCAGGCCTGGCTCATCTCGAACGAACCTATTTATTCCGCCCTCCTGCGTGCTGGCGTGGGACGTATCCCATCTGTCATTGGCTGATGCTCTTTGTCAGTTCTGTCAGCCTTCTCCAGTTTTCTGGATATCCAGTCCCAGTCTCAGAAGAAGGGGTGACTTGCTCGTAGGCTTGTTCACACATGAGGACTCGTCGTAGCAGACTATTTTCCAACTCAACTCCCATCCAAGGTTGCTCTCAAGATCCTCTGCAATGTCAAAATCGCGGTAAAAATCGTGTAATGTGAACTAAGGGGTCTCCAACTGATGATTTGAATCAGGGGACTTTCAGGGGGCAACCCTAGTAACTATGTGTATCCCTAGCACAGTATATATATATATATTTTTGTTGTTTTTGGGTGTAAAAGTTAGTTTCAAGATTTTGGTCTTGTTCAGCATTTGGTTCAACTAAAAAGCACTCTAAGGAGTTGGCTGTTCATTTTTTCTGCTAAGTACCTTATGTTCTAAGCCTGTTTTTGGCCAGTCAAAATTAGCTAATTGATGACCCAGTTGGCTACATCCACTAATTTATCCAGTCTATGGTTACAGAGACAGAGATGTAGGAACAGTGATATGTCAGGGCGTTGAAGGCGGTGGGAGTGTCAGTGGTTGTGGGGGTAGGCTGAATTCAGACCAACTTGAGCCCTGTGTGGGAAAAACAAACAAACAATAAAAAAAAAAAAACGCGCATCCTTCTCATTCATTTCTCGAGGCTAATGCAGGGGGGTCCAGCAAATAAGTGAAACTTGGCTAAACTTTTGCTGCAACTCAGTGTGATGCAGTGTGTTGGCTAATAAAGTAAGTATGTGCAAGCACACATGCCAGGTGGTGATTACTGTGTAACCCATGTCACATTTCTACTGTTTACATCAGCATTGTCAAGAAGAAAAATAAAATAGCTGCCACCATGAGAAGTTTCCAGCGCCTCAGAGTTTTGGTGTCTAAGAGGCCCCCAGATTCATGAATCTGTTACTCAAAGTGGACTTTAGCGGTACCCAAAGAAGCCCATCCCCACCGACACAGCCCCCAGTGTGTTTCTCACAGGTCTAATTTTGGCCTGGAAGCCTGTTGACTATGCATGTTAAAGCTAAAGCAGCATGTTTTTGTTTTGGTTTTTTTTTAAAGATATTTTTTGCCTTTAATGGACAGGACAGTTAAGTGTGAAAGGGGGTGAGAGAGAGGGGATGACATGCAGCAAAGGGCCACAGGCTGGACTCGAACCCGGGCTGCTGCGGCAACAGCCTTGTACATGGGGCACCTGCTCTACCACTAAGCCACCGACGCCCCTAAAGCAGCATGTTAAGTTATTCTTTAATGGTTATTTTTCTATTTGATTAGAGGTATGCAATTACCACATGAAAGGGATTAGTTTTACACGGTTTAAGGATTCCAAACACACCTTGAACAGATTCAGGGTTGACCAAGTTCCTCTAAAATATAAATTTGCATCATTAGCATTTGTAAAATCTCTACAACACACATAACTGTGTTACTGCACAGAAAGGAGAAAAAAGACACAGAGAAAGTGGATTAGAGACAAAAGCGTAAATTACCACAAACTCTGAATATGTGCTGGCAACAGAGGCTATGCTGAAGTTATGCTGTGGACCTGCAGGGGTCAGCAACGCACCACTCAGAGGGCTCCCCTTCAGCTGGGCTTTGTTCTCCTTGTTACAGCCATGCAGTCGTGGGTGGGGGGATTTACTGCCACCTGGCGTCAGTGCTACTGGCACCTGGAGGGGAGAATGACAGAAAAGTGAGACTAACGGTCATCTTTAACAATAAAGTAATTCGTTTTTAGAGTTAAATGGATTTTAAAAAATAAATGAAATAGTCCTGTACCTGCCATGTCGTCCTGTGCACAATTTGTGGTTGACACGATTTCTCACTTGGACTAAGTCAAGGGGTCCCTAGACATGAAAAATCATGGGGGTGCTTGTCCGCCACAGTGGGCAAATGGCTGCCGTGGCCAAAACAAAAATGGCTGCCATGGTGAATGAGGTAAAAAATTTAACCAACAGATATCACAGTGAAATTTACAGAGTTGATTACTCACATTATGACAAACAAAAAATGTATTGGAAGTTTTTTTTAAATTGTTTGTGTACAAGAGCAAATGGTGCATAATCTAATTAAGTATGTGCTAATTAGCAAAAATTCCACAGATCTAAACACTGGATAGAGACAGGTGAAAATGTATTTCTGGGGCGTCGGTGGCTTAGTGGATAGAGCAGGCATCCCATGTACAAGGCTGTTGCCACAGCGGCCCGGGTTCAAGTCCAGCCTGTGGCCCTTTGCTGCGTGTCATCCCCTCTCTCTCTGTCCCCCTTTCACACTTGGCTATCCTATCCAAAATGCCCAAAAACATATCTTTAAAGAAAAAAAAAAAGTATTTTCTATCTTGACATATTAGAGTCAAGACTTTTACAATGTGGACCTCCCTCTGCACACCATACCAATCTCCCTCTGCTATACCAAACTCCCTCTAACCTCATAGATGGCAGCCCTATTTTTGAAAAAGACAAAAATAACATACCCACATCACATGCCCATGCCTATGTCATCTGTCAATAAATCAATTAAGATTTTGTTCTGTACTTTCACTTTTATTCACATTTTTCATAACAATTTCTCAGAGACATGAGCATAGGTATTATAGAAATTATAAACATTTGCTTCCCCTCTTTTACTTTTATTGTCATATTATAATGAGCTGTTAAACTTTGCAAAGAGCATCTCGAGAAAAATGTGATATAAAATTAAATTATGACACAAAATCAAACAAAAGTGTCAATTAAGTGCACTATATTGTAATTGTGTACAAGTTAGTGTGATGCATTTTTACAAGATGGACTGTCTATTTTTCCGTGGCAGAATATAGTGCAGCAAACTCCTGTAGCACGGCAGCCACAGCGTCGGGTGTCACACTTGCCTGTACATTTGCATGTTGTGAGTAGACTCGGTGGTAAGGGCTTCATACATTTTGATGGCAGGAGTGTGCCAAGGTTCTCCTCCCATCCATGTTCCAGAGGTTCTTCTCTTTCCCCACGTTCTTTGGCTGTTGTAAGCAATTTGCATGCCCTGTGCACCAGAAAGGCACCTCGTTGGATATGGCCTCTGATAACACTAGTTGTAGGAGGGAGGGCATCAATCCCAGCAGTGTCACTAGTATAGATCTCTACCCTGAGATCATCAAACGTCTCAGCAGCCATACTTGACCTGGCCCCTGCCCAAACTTGTACTAAGTACTTCTCGGCTAGTTCTGTGTCCTGCTCTGACAAGGTGTCCGCTTCCCCAAAGTTGGTCTGATACTGCACTGGGTCAGAGGCCAATGCTGCATGTTTGGTCCCCACCTTACTCATGCAGTCATCTCCAGTCAGTATATGTGCCTTGATCACGGTCTTGGCCAGTGATACTCCTAGTCTGGAAACTGCTTGTTGCAGCGGAAGCATCCGTCGTTTCTCACCAGTGCCATACTGCTGCCAGATTTTCTCCATTCCCAGTGCTTGGAAGTATGGGGTGAAGTGTAGCAGCAATGCGAAGGTGTCTGTATCATTGGACACTACAACTACTCTCTTGCACTGTTTCACACAGACAGCCCACTCCACGTGCACCACCAGCCTGGTGTCAGCCTCCTCGATCCAGTTCAACAGGTCTGGGAACTCACCACCAGCCGCCTTTCCTGGAAGCACCTCATCATGGGAGACAACAGAGCTGACAAGGATGGTAGCATCGCCACAGGTTCGATTGCACACCATGTCCCGAACTAACAGCTGGAGATTTCGCTTGCTCTCCTCAGATGCCCAGAACTTGTCTAGTTGTTGAGGGATGGGTGTGTCTCTGTTCATGCTGATGATGTCAATGCCAGTTGTTGAATCTGTACGCCGCATGCACTCCCCCTCCTTCAGAGACATCTCAATGTAGGAATCCAGTATGATATGGATGAACTCTGGCTCTTCACAGAGGGATGATGTTGAACTGATGATGGTGTTGATGGCAGCACCTAGAGTGGGGAATCGTGCCAATGGCATCTGGCGCATCTTCGACATGAAGTCTACCACAACATGAGTGGTAAGAGTAGACTTTGGACTCCATTGGGTAAGGTCAAGTCCAGGCACAATCTCACTAACCAGTTTAGACTTGTTGACATGAGCTGGAAGGTCACCTTCAAACAGGGGAGACGCTGTGAGCACATTGTGACTAAGTATCTGCCTGATGTTCATAACATGCTCCTTAGCAATGTCCATGTTCCTATGTGCCTCGGCCATGTCCTTGGATGAAAGTATCCCCTGCTCCTTCAGAATGGTTTCTGGTGTCTTCTGTGGGTGCTTGTTGCACTGTCAAAGTCAAAGTATTGACTCTATATGTCAAGAAAAAACATTTTCACCTGTCTCTATCCGGTGTTTAGATCTGTGGAATTTATGCTAATTAGCGCACACTTAATTAGATTATGCACCATTTGCCCTTGTAAACTTCCAATACATTTTTTGTTTGTCTTAATGTGAGTAATCAACTCCGTAAATTTCATAGTGATATCTGATGGTTAAATTTTTTACCCTATTCACCATGGCAGCCATTTTTGTTTTGGCCACAGCGGCCATTTGCCCACTGTGGCGGACAAGTACCTCCGTGATTTTTCATGTCTAGGGACCCCTTGACTCAGTCCAAGTGAGAAATCGTGTCAACCACAAATTGCGCACAGGACATGGCAGGTAGGCCTACAGTATTAAAATGGAGGAAGACAGGAACCAACACTCCATGTCCCATATGATCAGAATGAACTAATTAGTCAAAGTGAGTGCAGCATAGGAAATAAAATATTCGCTATGTCACATTCAGGAGACATTTTAGGTAAACTTTCTGTACAAATGAGAAGGAAATGACAGAAAACACTTTGACTGAGGTTATGAATACCTCGGAATACCTATATGTGTTTTTTGACAGTGGTGTTTATACCCTGTTTCTAAACAACACTTTTGGTATGATACCTTTGGAACCAAAAGTACCCTTCAGACATGGTACCTAGACCTTGGCATTTCCACTACAAACCATACCCTTAAATGTGGGCGGGGTTATTGTCACTGCTCCGTCCAGCACTCACTGTATTTCCTCATTATCGGTGACACAGATAAAAGTCTGCACCTCGTTTATCGTCCACAGAACGAGGCTACACGCCAACATTTTCAGAAAAAAATAGAACAGTCTCTCTCCATGGGATATTCAAAAATAGCGGGTTTGTGCATTTAGTTGGGGGTTTAATGTTGCTGTAGCTCGACGCCATGTGACCCTTTTTTTTTCTCTGAGTGAGGATTAGAATATATGCAGTTCACATAACCTGGCCGAAAATAATACATATAAAAGCATGAAGATCCACTCATTACTAAAAGTGTATGTCATATAAAAACTTGAGTAATAGCTTGTGCATTGAGTAACATTACAAGTTAACGTTCCACCTTAAAAATCCCGGCAGTAGGCCCACTGAATTAAGTTATTTTTTTCTCTGACTCCGGCTGCTGCAAGAGGCAGTAAAACGTCCTTATATTTTATAGTTACAGTCTATTAATTAAACTCTCTACGATATGAACAGTAGCTTCTGCCTCAAGACCAGCCACAACTCAGCCCTGAGCAGAGTGACCATCCTCTATTGACCAATCAACGGACTTCAGTGTTCACAACTCCACCTTTTAGTAACAGATCTGTGTGCCAGGTACCCCAACAGAAGGGGTACCAAAAATGGTAAAGGTACGGAGCAGTTCCATTGGTACCATCCACAACTTTTTGCAGTGGAGACCAAAAAAAAAAAAAAAAAAAGAAATACTTAACTGAACCATACCGTACCGTACCATATTTCTTGGTGGAAATGGGGCTTCTGAGTACTGAAAAACTATACTCAACAATCCAATTACTCCCATTAAAAAAAAATCACTCAAATAAAAGTAAAAAAGTACCTAGTAATAAATTACTCAAAGTTACTTTCCGTGCGGTCTAGTGCAGAACAAAACAAAACAAAAAAAAGTAGTACTTGTTTTGATGAGTAGGTCGGCTAATCTAACAAATAAAGACAGTCTATACAACTGAGATATGAACAATCTCCCACCCTTTCTCTCCACCTCTTCCTCTCTACCCATCTCTTCCTTATCATGACATCTACGATTAACTTCACACATGAAAAATTAACATAGCTAACGTTAGCTAGCTAACTCATTTTCACCAACAACTTATTTCAATACAGGGTTTCCCTCCAGAAAAGTTGTTGGGCCAGATGGCAAGTATCTTTGGACGGGGCCTGGCAGACAAGTGTCTTTTTATGTGTAGAACGTAGCATTTAGTCTCATATGCATATGGAATATGATGCAGACTTGGTGAGCTAGAAATTGCCCTGCTAGCTGGTGTGTCTGCTGGACAGGATGCAGCATTGGGAGAGGAGCAGCATGTTGACAAGGATAAAATATGATGGAGAGATCTCACTGCAGCCTTCAGTCCCACAGGGGATGAAGAGGAGTCAGTCAGTAAGTAAGTAAGTGGTTAATGTTAGTAACATGATTTGTTTTGGAGTTTTGACAGCTAACAATATGGTCATGGCAGCTCACTCACTGAAAATGCAAACTCGTTAACTGTAACGGTACCATTAAAATCAAACAGTCTAACTTGGCTAACTGGTAATGTTAACATTAATACCAGCAGGCTTTTTTTCACTGACTTGGGTTGAATTTACTGTTTGCTGCAACTGTATTGAGATCAGAGGCTGGGTAGTCTGTGCTGTGTGTATGTGTGCAGTCAGTTGTATTTCCATTGCTGTTCATTGTAATATTAGCAGAGTGTTTTTCTTGACCCGCTAGGCTACTGTAGTTTTAAAAAAATCTGAGAAGTACATTTTTGAAAAACCCACAATGCTTTGGTCCAGGCGGGAGGTCAACTTGGGCAGGGAGGTGCTCCTTGCGTGCTCTCCCCCCACTATATTGCATTTAGAGCAGACTCGTCGTAATGAAGGTATAAATAGCAAATGTAGTGAAGTAAAAAGTAGATTATTGGCTCAAAAATATACTCAAGTAAAGAGTAGTACAGTTTAAAAAAGGAACATGAAAAGTACTTGTTCCTTAAAGAATATATTTACTGTTACTTACTTCTCTCAATTATTTTTAAGGGGTTACTACCCACCCGTTTTGTGCTTGGGTCTAATGTAGTGTGGTGCAACCTTATTCTCTGAAAATAGGTCATATTTTATCAAGGAGCAGAAAAAGTGAATATTCTAAAAATCTAGTTCATTGTCCCGCCTGTGATTTTGATGTCAGTTGTCCATCCACCTCATTATTTTTCCTCAGCTTTAACGTGTGTGTAACTTCTACTTCCTTCATCTTGAAATGAGACCAACCTTGTTTGCTGAGAGAGGTGGGCGGGACACAGGTGAGCGACACACAGTTCCACCATAGACAGAGCGGCTGTTGCTGTAAGAGGTGGCACTGGAAATGCTAGAAGTCACGTTGAGCTGATGAGAGAGGTAGAGCGGGTGGGTCAGTGCTGACACAGCCAGATGACTAAAGACACCAAATTTGTAATAAAGCAAGCATTTATAGTAAAACTATTAAAGTTAACTGGGTATGCTACCTTTCTGGATTTATTTGGGGTAGTAGTGCAAAGGAATCTGCGTTTGGTGGGGGTTCGCACTGTTGTCCCATACAGCATGTCCTCCTCGGTCTGTTTGCTTTTTTTTAGATGCTGTTAAGAGTTTGTAAAAGTGTCAACCAATTTCCCAGCAAACATATGGGCTATAACCCTACAATTCAAAAAGGCAGCTTGTTTACCCTCTCTTGTTTCTCCTTCTCCTTCTCTGTTCGGTGCAGCTCCCACTGTTCCTCCACATACTGTAGAAACCTCTGACCATTTACCAAAAACTCCTGATTCTGTTCACTTTCCCATGCATCAGTCTGGGCTTTTAGTTTCTTTTCAAGCTAAAAAAAACCCCACATGATGTCAAGTTACTGTCAAATGCTTAAGAATTGTTACAAGATGTTCAGTTTAGAAAATAATAGGCAGCCTTCATGTCTTACCTTGGGCAGACTTTTCTGCAGCTCAGACCTCTGTTTCTGCTCTTTGAGAAGGTTCCCTCCTCTGTTAGTGAATCTTGTCGGATCTGTGGCTTTATTCTGTGAATGAGAAAGATTAAAAAGACAGATTATGACCCTGGTAAACAACTCGTTAGCATACAGCAGTGTGACCAGCTAAAATAAATAAATCCGGGGGTGTAATGATAGAGTTACAGTTTTAAGAATCCTGTAAACCTATAACCTATCCAACGTATACCCAAAGTAAACTGAAAGCTGTTCTTGTTACATTTTTAGTACATGTACATGCATAGTCTCATTTGTACAAAGGAGGATAAAGTAAATGATAAAGTAAAAAAAATCTTAGATTTCAAGAAATACAGTTGTAAATCTACAAGAAAAATGTCGAAATATGTGAATAAAATCAAAACATCATGAGATAAAACTTTTAGGAGAAAAAAGTCACAGATTTACACCAGAAAGTCAGGTAACATGGAATAAAAAGCAACAAAGTGTGTACAAACAGTGTTGGGGTGACAGTAATATACGTTTTAGCAATACCTAAGTAATATATTGTGTTACCAACAAGATTTGGTACACACTGTCCCATTCTTATGCATTCCGGAAGCCGAAGTTGCTTGCGTGCGTGCTGGCGTATTTTTCTGTCAGAGTTTCTGTCACAAAGTGACATTTTATTCAGTTTTAAGCCACAATTTTATGACATACTTTTCAGAATTGTGACGTTTTACCTTAGTGTTTTTTTTTTTTATCCGGTGTAAGGTTTTTAGTCATTAGATGCTTGGTTTTTTAACTACACGTCCTGACTGCCGACGCCGGTTTGTTTTCAGCATTACTAACACCGAGTGCTAACCTAGCAGCAGTGGACCTGCCGGGTATTGAGATGACCTACAGACGGCACACTGAAGCCTTATCACCGCAGCAGGTCCACTAGTTGGACCCATGTCAGTAAGTTTTAATACTTTGTGTCTTGTGTGAATTTCCCTGGCTATTGGCACTTTGCTGACAACCCTTTGGACTCATTGTTAGTGCTTGTGACCTCTGCCTGTGGCTCCTACCACTGCTGAAGTGGCTGCAAATTTTATGTGATACTCCTGCAGACATTTTACCCTCATCTTGTGATTTTATTGTAGACAATTTCCTTGTCCTAATCCTTGATACAATAGCACCACTAAAACTGAAAAAGATTTCCACTAATCCAACATCCTCCCTGGAGAAACCAAAACATCAAGGAATTAAAAAGAAAATGTTGTACAGCAGAAAGAAGATGGAGAAATAATAAATTAACTGTCAATTATCACATTTTCTGTGAGCACCTAACTATGTACAATAAAGCAATCAAACAGGCAAGACAAGCTCACTTTTCAGAATTAATAACCAACCACAAGATCCTCTTCTCAACCACTGGCCATCTAATTAACCCTGTTTTTACAAAGCCTGGCAGTATGTCTACAAACTCAATGTGTGAAGAATTTGCAGTCCACTTCAGAAGTAAAATAGACTCTATCAGATCAAATCTACCTCAGTCGCATTCTGTGAGTTTTAATATCCAAGAACCTTTGTTTGTGCACGAGGAAACATGAAAGAAATTTGTCCTGGTTGGTGCTGAGATGATTGCAAAGGTTGTTTCTCAATTAAAACCAACAACCTTTATTTTAGATCCAATCCCCACATCCTTTTTTAAATCATTTTATAGCTTTTTAAAAGAAGACTCTAACTGCCTCTCTCTCTGCACCGCCTTCATGTGTGTTCACGTGCTTTCGCTGGTGTCACACACGTGAGCGCAGTGTACAGAGAGGCAGTTAGAGCCACAGGCTACAATGAGGCTAAAAACGGAGTTTAAATTATGTTTTTCCAAACAACTTTTTATGTCGGGGCTTCAGGACACTTAGATCACTACGAAGGAGCAGTATGGAGATATTTTGTGGTTTCAATTATGTGTTTTTTGGACGTTTTAATCTGGGGCGCCGTCAGCCTGCATTAGGTGGAGTTGTGCTGCTACCCACTCTCCCCTGGGATCTCCGCAAGGGATGTGAGGACTCTAAAGCTTCACCTGAGCCTCCCTCGGCATATGGGTGAGTCAGTAAGACTGCTATGGTTAAACCATGTCACGAAACAATCTGGATGCTTCTATACTTAATAACTACAGACCAATATCCAATTTACCATTTTTAAGCAAAATTTTAGAGAAACTCGTTTTTAACCAGTTAAATGATTTTATGAGCTCTCACAATATTTATGAAAAATATCAATCCGGTTTTCGGACTAATCACAGCACTGGTTAAAAGCATTCGATACAGTAGACCACTCAGTCCTTCTAGACAGACTCCGGAGTGTGATTGGCATCTCTTGTACTAGTATTTTTTGTAAATATTGATGAATGTTCATCAAAAAGCTACAAAACACACAGCTTTACATTGCTGTGTCTCCTGATGTCCCAGGGCCAATAGATGTCCTTTTTAACTGTATCTTAGATATTAAATTATGGATGGCTAAGAATTTTCTACAGCTCAACCAGGACAAATCTGAAATTTTGGTCATTTAGTACTGAAGCCCAGAGAGAGAATCTCAATGAGAGATGGCATGCACTGGCACTGAACCCTTGTCAACAGGTGAAAAACCTGGGAGCAGGGTTCCTACACATTTAGAATTTCAAAATTCCATACTTTTCCAGACCCTAATTTCCAGACTCGGCATTCTTTTTTTTCTTTTTTTTTTTCCCAGAGAATATGCGACATCTGAGTAAATATATCAGTGTATCATATTTCACATCATATTTAATTATTCTTAATAGGCGATTGTAGCCAAGTACCATAACGGCATGCAAATAAAAACTCAGGTAAGTTCAATGTCTGGGCTGAGGCAAAAAGGTTGGGTGCAAGCGATGCAGTAACGAGTGTTTTTTCCTTTCATGTGACTCAGAATCGCCTTCTACCCCATGTTGGTGATGTCAAACGATTTCACACAAAGCTTGCATCTAGCACTGCGTGTGAATTGGGAATCCTTGGCCAACCAGTATTTATATACGGTATTGTCAAGCCATCCATCCAAAAACTTGCATCTACCCATTGTGAACCACGTGAAACTCGTCTTCTTGTCGAAGGTGCAGTGTTGGAATGAAACTTGATACCTGGAGGGTTGGAGGAGGGTCATGGGGCAGCGGACTGGACATACCACTTGTCAATCAGGTAAAAGGGGCGGTCTGAGATGTTTGCGCTCACACAGACTGTGCTTGGCCCGGCATAAAACACGATCCAGATTGATTAAATTATTTTTGGAAATACCTAATTTTCTATTTTAGAAAACAGTATTTTAGAACAAGGGCGGCACGATGGTGTGGTGGTTAGCACTCTCGCCTCACAGCAAGAGGGTTGCCAGTTCGATCCCGGGCGTGGGAGCCCTTCTGTGCGGAGTTTGCATGTTCTCCCCGTGTCAGCGTGGGTTCTCTCCGGGCACTCCAGCTTTCTCCCACAGTCCAAAGACATGCAGATTGGGGACAAGGTTAATTGATAACTCTAAATTGTCCGTAGGTGTGAATGTGAGCATGAATGGTTGTTTGTCTCTATGTGTCAGCCCTGCGAAAGTCTGGCAACCTGTCCAGGGTGTACCCTGCCTCTCGCCCGATGTCAGCTGGGATAGGCTCCAGCCCCCCCGCGACCCTCAAGAGGATGAAGCGGTTAGTAGATGAATGAATGAAAGTACTTTAGAACAGTGGTAATAGTCTGGAAACATAAATATTTTTCCATACTTTATTGTTCATTTTCCATACTTTTTAATACCTGGAAATTGATCAAATTTATTTCCATACTTTCCATACTTGCATAGGAACCCTGTGGGAGTCATCTTTGATTCAAATCTAAGTTTTGAACTCTACCTTAGAAATGTCATCAAGACTGCATTTTCTCATTTAAAAAATACTGCCAGATGTCGACCGTTTCTCTCTCAAGCCAGTACCAGGGTATATGCAGGAATCCTGAGGTTAATTTCAATACCTTTTTAAGACTTTTTTAAGACCTTCCAAAAAAAACTTTAAGACCTCATCGCCACTTCAAGCTGTTGTTAGCAGCAACGCATCTTTCAAGGAATAAAGCTTGAAAGAATAAATTAAACCAAAGGCAGGTTTATTAAAATACACCTTAGGTCATAACAAGTAACACAGCTCTACAGCTCAACATCAGCTATTCAAGGCCAACTTGCTGAAAACAACAACCTTATGGCTAGCCCCTTGCATGTGGGATTTAGGGCTGACCCAAAAAATTCGAAGCTTCGAAGCTTCGTTCGATGGCACGGGATTCGATTGTGAATTTTTTTTCCCGAATATTCGGCCTTTTTTTCTCCCGTTTTTTTGGGGGGACCTTAGACTCACAAGTCAGTCTTTAGACGCTTTGCTTAACTAAAGACTGATGACTTTCTCCCTGATTTTGTGTTTAGATGGGTGGATACAATTTCAGAGTTTAAAAAAACTCCCTACTTTGCAGAACCAATAGTAAATCCGCAGGGCGGTCCTTCGGTGGCTTGCTGAACTCTTGTGCTCGTAAACATAGTCCAACTACAAACACGTGTAGCAGCACAAAATCAAAGTTAGTGGATGTTTGTCGCGTTTGCGGCGACTCTCGCCAACTAAAAGAAACAAACATAATCTTTTACAAGGCCATGACTCATCTGTCCGGCCAGACTATATAGGGAATTGTCTTGTTGTTAACAAATACTTCCGGGTAGAAAACCAGCAGAGTTTAGCTATATCTATCTATCTATCTATCTATCTATCTATCTATCATATATATATATATATATATATTGTTGGGAATAGAATGATGTTATGTGTTTTACTATAAGTTGTGTTTCACTATATAAGTTTTAGATGTGTGAACAATGAGAATACTGAGATGATTTCAGCTGATCTGAATGTGTTTGCTTTGCAGAAGTGGAGAAGTACAGGAGAGGAAGAGACATGAAGTCTGAGGAGCACATACCGCAATGCTTAGATAATTAGTTTCATATATGGTAAAAAGAATAGAAAGTGAT